GTCACAACGCGTCTAACTAATAGCCGAAAACACGCCACATAGGTTTATAATCTAATGGTTTTCGACCTTTAGCAGAAAAACCGCACATTTTGTTCTGCCCCTTTGAGTTTTCACTTTTCTGGACCCAGATATCCCAGCCTAAGCGTCATTATCACGGCACGTCATTATGGAGAAAATATTAGTCATCCCGCCTCGCCTGAAGTGCGAATCTTCCAGATCCAACACTTGCCCCTCACTCTCACCTCGAGCTGCCTGGTTCCTTGAAACAAACGAGAAGTGTGGTTGTCTTGCTTCCCAAAAGCTTCTTGGTTCTGTGCCCAGAAAGGCAGCTGAGTCATTTTTGAGGTACCATCAAAAATCGTTGTGGAATTCCCCAGCTAAGCTTCATGATCTTGAGCAGTGTCATTTTCGAAAAGTGTGATCCTGAGCCGTGGTGGAGTAGGCAAACATTGCTCGGTTGTGGGACCAAATGGTATGTATTTTCATCCCCCCCCCCTCTTGCAGTTGCTTATAATAGGGTTCGCTGGTTACCACAGCGCTGAGAAGAAGAAATTCCGTTTGGGAAGGGAGAAAGAAACCCCACCACATACACAGTCTCACCGCCCTACTGGATTGATAGGATTGCGCGATCGGTTCTGCCCTTTCTGGGGGATCTAGCCGCTGGCGCTTCCGGGAGTGATTCACCTAGAGACACCTACTCCATATCCAGTTACAGCGCTGTTCAACCAGTCCGTACGGCGGAAGCGGGAGAAGTTGTAGACAGTACCCACATGTGCTCCCCTTGGAGTATCGGTCAACTCATGAGAAAAATTTTGACCGAACTTCAAAACTTTTTTAAGGGATCGAGGCCCTCTCTCATTTGTGCTTTGGGACCAGTCAAGTGTAAGGACTAGATAGCAAGTTGATTTGTACGAATTGGTTTTAATCAAGGAACACAGTAGGTCCAAATCCAAGGCAGGTGGCCTCCTTGGACGAAGTTTTTGTCCCAGATAGAAGTCACTCTGCGAAGCGATCGGGCCATTTCAGAACCTAACTCAGAGAAATGTCGCTTGTGGCTCCAACCACGTTGTGCCTTGGTAGAATGATGAATTTCAATTACCGTTTTGCATATGAGAACAGCGGGACGTGAGCCGGACGGTAGAGAAGCTGCGGGATGCTTACTTAACACACTTCCCATACAGCACATAACTGGATCTCGAAATGGCTAAGGAAAGATCTGATACGAGATTTAAAAAATGTTCACGAACTTCTGACAACCTAATCATTCATCGAAGGCCGGGAAGCAGTAGAAATCTCTGTCGCCCATAATGATGCCCTTAAACCGAACACCCCCCCTCCCTCTTCCCCCTCCCCCCCAGGAGGAGAGTGCAGCCCTTTTCTGGAGCGACTCGCATACAACTCCAATCCAGCATGAGGATTTTTTCCTCTCATTGCTCTTACTGTCAGTTTACATATGAAAATTTTATCCATGGTGCAGTCGCTGCTAACTATGCACTCGGTCCAGGGATCGAGTCATGGATCCGCCCGTCCGAACCAACTAAAACATTCATCTCTCTAGAAGCGGTGAATTGGTAACAGACTCGTCTGGATAAAACCACTCGGTAGCGTGCACGCCTGGTAAGCCATTGAGTGCCTCAAGTGCGTTCCTAATTTTGATGCTGGCAGCATCCATGACAATACAATACAAGTTCCTTTCTGGATGAACGACACGGTGTTTTTCTCTGTATTCTATATTGAACATGGCGGCCCAAGTTAGCGCCTTGACCTGACTGCATAGAAGAGCACAGCGACAATCTTCGACGTGGAAGCGGTCATCTCAATCATACATGTAGCCCTCGCAGGGTGCTTCGGTGAATCCAGAAGGATATTGATCGTTCTAAGCTTCAGCTTTATAAGTGGAAGGCTAGGATTTCACACTGGATCGCATGCATGAATCCTTGTCAAAGAGCGAGTATGAAATCTGTCATGAAGGGTTCTTGATGTCTGTGGTTCATATACCGGACAAAGCAGTGGTTATGCTAGTACAATGATAGAACTATTCTGACATCAGTGCTATTGAATGGAACAACGTGTATTTACCCAGTATTTTAGAACCGCATCATCGTCAAAAAGTCAAAGCCCGCCTGTGAAACGAGTTCGTACGCCGAAACTTCCACATACACCACAAGGGAGTCCGCGAAAGTCACGTAGTGGTCGACGGCGTTCAAGTTTTACAAAAGTAGGAATTTCTGCCGACGAAACGACTGAGGAAGACGATGAAACAACGGCAGCGGAGATGAGCGAACGTGAAGGCCAGGTTGGTGCAACAGCATTCGTTTTCCTTTGGATTAGGTCACTTATTTAGATTCCGCATCGAATGAGCGCAACAATGACTCGACCTGTTCCTTTTTGCAAGGAATCTGCGGCTGAACATGGTCCTCGTGAAATCACACCAGCCTACTGAGATCACGTACGGTACGTCTTGAGCGACTATTCCAGCGAGGGCATTGTATTCATCGCTGGTGAGAATCTGGAGCGGTCATATTCCGATTTGAGAAAAAGAGTTTCCAGTTTTGGATCTCCTCACCTTCGGTTTTTCCTCTGGCCTTATGAGATGCCTATTACACCTCCCTACCCCCCCCCCTCCGCTCAACGGCGCTTTTGGCAACGAGATCGGCGATACGGTTCCGCGCAGTTTCGGTACCCATAAGAAGGATAGTTTGGAGCCGGAACGTCGTCTCCTCGGTCGGAAATTCTCCTTCCTATCGACGACCGTCAGCCTACCACACCGCGTATAAGTAGGTTGCTCATTTACCTCTATTTGCGTTGCCTCGGGTATTGGTGAGAACCACCCTTTTTGCGGAGCAGGCCCTCACGAGTACTGACATCACTGTGCTCGAAGTATGCTGTCAGAACGACCGTCCCCCCTCCTTGTCCCCACATAAATTGCATGCGCGTCTTGGTGCGCATGCCGTCGGGTTCGCAGCTCTCTCCCTGCCCTTATACCAAGTCCTTTACCAACCTCTCCCAGAGTCTCCTTCCATTGTTCCCACTTCTCCAGCAAAGTTGAGCCTCTCACCCAAAAACCAACCGTCGTCTTCGTGGCAAAGCGGCGACGCCCAAAGGAGCGATACTCCTCTCTCAGTTCCAGCTACCTCCAAAACAGTGTTCATCCGAGTTTCTTTGCCTTGCCGCAAAAGCCCGTGTGGAACACCTCCAACGCAAGTGCGACCATCTCCCCCTCCCCCCCGCCCCCATGGTGGCACTGCCATCGACTGGTTATATGCTCGTGAAACAGAAAAAAAATCAACAATCAAGAAAAAAATTTCTTCAGACCAAGGACGAGCAACCTTCCAATGGCCAAGTCTTTTTGATCAGGGTACATCATCGTGATGTGTGAAGTGGCGCTGTCACTACGACCCTCCCACCCCAAGTTTTCTCATCTGTATGACCCCTTCCCCAACTATCATGCCAGCCCGTCCTCCCATATTCACAACTTCCTACCACTTTCTCTGTTATTTTTTGGCTATTTTTCCAGCTTTCCCCCGAAAACTGCATCTTCAACTAGATGGTGCAAGACTAGGGGGAATGATGTTGGTCTGAAGTTTCGATTAAATCGTCATGCTCAGAAGGGTTCGGGAAAGTTCATAGCAAGGCCAGATACGACCCCTATCGACCGAATACTACATTGCTTCCCAGCGATCAAGCCCGACCCACCCCCCCCCCCTGATGGGATTCTCCTCACGGTGCTGTGACCTTTTCCTGGTGAGATTCTCCAAACGATGGTGTACCCTGCCGTGAAGTCAAATTATTCGTGGACTTTTGAAATTCTAATCCTGAAAAGCTTATGGGATGTGCCATATGCGATATTACCGCTCCACAGCATTGGCTCAATCGTCGTTTAACGCATAATTAGGTTGTATTGTTCATAATGATTGCCGTGCACGACTCCTATGGGATAAACGAGCCATACTAACTCACAATGAGGCTTTGCAAAGCAGTCCTTGGCGCCTAACCGTTTCCCTGGCTGTTTTATGCTTTGTAGTCCTCAGTGGCACAACTATGGCCGTTTACTACTGGACCGTATTGAGAGCGCAAGGCATCCCCAGTGTTGGAACAACTTCTGCTCCGCTATAGGCCACGGCCTCCTCAAGCTTGATCCCGAACCACATTATGTGTGGTGCCATTCGCATGCGCTGTGGTAGCATTTCATACGACACCCGGATTAATCCCCTAATCTCGCTGTCTAGTTTCTCCGTCATCCTTAGCTCCCTGATTCTCAGCTTCACCTTCAATAATGAGCCAGTGGCAGACGACTTGTGCGCTGCATACAAATTGCAATTCGTGGATAATCGCGAATGTTGCACAAATTTACTGGAGCTAGTGGTTCGGTATTCGATTCCGGCAACAAATTTCGCGGCCACTATCAACCCTATCTAGGCGGGGGTCGTATAGTGACAAAAGGCGCGCCTACGACGCTCGCTGTCCAGAGATCAAACCCGGGATCAGCTTTCACTCGGGCCAAATAGGCCTTCTTCGGGGTTATGTTCACTCAGCGGTGGAATGAATGCCGAACAGGAATGGGATTTGTTGCCAGAAACAATAGATGAAAGAGCAGTTCGATATGAGCTCACATCAGATTCAGCTGATTTCCCAACTTTTAAATTACCTCCTGTCGAGCGTTACTTATGTTAGTGCTACAGTTCTGAAACGGGTTGTCTTCGATAGTAGGGGGGTCTCTTTTTGACTCATACCCCATTCCCAGCAAGATAACCCTACCGTACTCCGGGATTTCGATTATTAAGATGGGAAGATTGTGCTGCACAAGTTTCAGAGTAGAAACTCTTCATACATCGTTGTGGATGCTGCTAAAGCGCTTTTTTTACTCAAGGTGAGATATTCCCGAAATCTTCCCTTAAAGGCAAATGGCACGATAATTTGGTGCTCAGCCTAAAATGCTAGCAGGGCGCTATCTAGTGGTAAAATGGCGAAAAAACGAAGTGAAACGGTCAAAAACTGCGAAGAAAAGCCTTCGTTCTTGAGAAGCAATTTCGGACGAGTTTCCCGTAGGCGTGTTGCAAATAACCGCTCCGGCAGGTACGGCTGCCTGTATGTACTCATATATCCATTCAGCACCGCAGCCGCTTCATACTAATCCCTTCGCTTCATATTTTACTTAGCAAATGAAGCAAAACGAGCATCTGGTAAGGTCGTCCATTTGTGGGCGGGCGGGCGTGGCGGGCGTTTGGGTCGGAATGTTGTAGCTTGATAGGACCCTTATAAGGGCACCTCCCTCGGAAAACCGCTATGCAGCGCCTGCTCAGGGTCGCGGAAATCCGCCCTGCCACTCGTACCAT